TGGCCAAAAATGACAAATGGCTATGGCCCATACAAAATCTGTCGCTCTCAAGCATACATATAACATTCAAGGTCCAATAGAGATGCAGAGCCAAGCTCAGCATTTGGAAGCAATGGTTTTTGAAGCTGCTGTTATCTTTTGAAACTACAAATTATTTTCACATGTGGCTCTGACTAATAGCAACTAACTGTATGTATATGTACATGCTCATTTTACATTTTCTCAGTTTGTGACAGGTTTTACTTAAAAAAGCAAAAGGTTTCCCAGCACACTCACCAGCCAGCATGCAAAAAAACTTGTCTCACCGCTAATGTTAAAAACAGAGCTTTAGATACAAGTCTTCTGCAGAAAATGTGAAAGCCGCACTGCCTTGTCAATGCACCTCTATATAGTGCGGTCCTAACTCTAAACTATGAGAGCCCAGTTTTATCACTATGCACCCCATTTGATCTTTTGCTACATGTGCTCCAAGATGGAGACTCTTAGTTTAGAGCTAGGACCGCACTATATAGAGTGGTGCCTTGGCGAGGCGGTGCGGCTTTCCCATTTTTGTTGTTTTACTGTATAAAGCCCTTCCATGTGCACCTTGCTTAGAGCGGGTAACAAATTGATGTGTGTTTGCCTTTTGCTTAGGTTTTATTTAAAGTCACACTTTTGAGCACAAAACCATGAAAGGCATTATTCTTCATTTAGAGAAAATAAAGTAGGAGCATCACATATTTGTTTACCAATAAGCCCCACAATTTTTTCTGAGATCTCTTGGCACAGTCTTTCAGAAAACACTAAGAGGCACTATAACTGCTGAGCTGATTCTACCTGATTGTAAGAGGAGAGCTGGTGTCAGAGGCAAGGATTATAAACACCATATGCTCATATTTTTCAATCTCTAAATGCTCCCTGAAATATGATACTCATGTCAAATCCTCTCTACGTTGTCGCCTCCTGTCACTCCTTGGCAAGTTTCCAAAAGGTAATTTGGTGTCCTAGCTGAATGCATATTTTCACTGTAGCATCCAAATTGGAATACACACACACTTTTTATTATTTGTTACATTTTATAATTCACATTGCATAACTTTAAACCAAAATTGAATAACTGCTGCCTCCAAAATCCTCCCTAGCTTCCCTCTTATGTAATGTTAATGAGGAACTTTACTCATATCTTTAAATTGACAACAAAGAAACCTTTGTCCTTACTAGACATTTCTAATCTACAGATACCTAGGGTATGCAAAGAATAAAAAGCCTGTAATTATCTCTATTTTTCTTTTCCTCCCATTCTTCTCACGGTGGCCCATTTTTACGAAGGGCAGATTAAAATATGTCCCTTTACTTCCTGGAACTCTGGCACATGTGACTAGGACAGGTGATCATGCACATCATCTCAGGGGAGGAAAATCCCTTTCCCTGAGATCTCACAAGAATTTGCAGCTTACCGATGAGATTTCCCAGCAATACTCTGCTGATGTAACTTTCCCAGGATGCATCTTTTAGGCACAGGCTACATCACTTATGCTCAAGAGGACCAGGAAGTGGATGTAAGTAAAAGAAAAATATGTTTATTTAACTAATGAATGTAAGATAATTTCATATCAGCATGCAGAGCTGAATGCTGATGTGATTTTTAGAGAAAGGGGGTAAAGGTCCACTTTTAGGAGGGGGGGCTGTGGAAAGTTATGTTTATTCTTATTAACCCTGTCTGTACTGAATTGGCAGATCTCATTATCAGTTTTAAGCTAGATTTGAACACTGTCTATCCAAATAAAGCGTTAAAGAAGTCTAGGCATTGTTTGTTAATAAGAGGAAGCTCAGTCTGTCCCTCTAATTTCACATTTAAACTGCTCAAAGTAGCCCGCAATCTGCAAAAAGGTCTTCACTAAAGAAATTAAAAAGGTAAGAAGTATTTTTTATTATTTTAGGTATGCTGTGTGAATAGGAACACAGAACATATAGTGGAGTTTTCTCAAATTTAACTGCAAAAGTGGAATTACCAAAAACTACACATACCACATGTACACTTCATGCAAAGTAAATCTAAACATTACCATTTCGGTTGACAGTAATATAAGTTTGGACACTTGGCATTTTTCTTGCAGCTGTAAAACGTTATTCATGTTGCTTTCCTGATAACTAGACTGATTTTTTCCTAAAATGGTGTTGAAATTGATAATGTATAACAGCAAAACATGCTACACTAAATGCAAACACTGTAGTTCAGTTGGGCAAACACAGCAAAAAAGTTAAAGTGTTAAGCTGACCATACACTGGTAGATGTTCGTATGATTGAATTTCATTCAAGAAAACATTTTCATCCTGTTCCTTTGGTTTTTTTTTTATTTTGTCAGTCGAAAACGATCATTAATCTGACCCCATTACCCATTAGAAAATCAAAGGAACTTTCAGAAAAAAAAAATAGGATTTTGGTACTCACCGTAAAATCCTTCCTCACAGGGCACTGCAGTCAGCTTGTCCCCACAATCCATGTACCCGGCAAATATAAATGCCAAACCAGAGCCCCAGCACATGAAAGAGACCCCAGCAGGCACCGCCCCCGTCCCTAGGCCTGTTGTCGCAGTTGCCCCTAGCAACCAACCCGCAGGCAGACGACCCTCCTACAGTACCCGAACTCCCGGTGTCCCAGTGCGTCCTCACCCGACCGCGTCCCGGCGTGAAAGACCGATCCGGCCGGGTGACGCGCAAGTAAAGGGACCCGGAAGCGGCGCACCGGAAGTGACGTCAGGCCGAGGGCGCACGCGCCCATACCAAAGATGGCGGCCGCGGCCTCCGAGAAGGCCGCAAACGAAGCCGGGGGCTCGATTAGCGGCCCCCGCGAACGGAACCGAGCGGCCAGCAGCGCCAGAGGCCCCAAGCCTCCGCCAGCACCAGGACCGCAGCCCGACCCCAAAACACCCCCGGAACACCCGCAGGCCGCCCCCTGACGCCGAGGATCCAGGCAAGGACCCCCAGGGCCACACACCCCGACAGACAGGCGACGGAGGACGGAGGAGGAGGGGGGGAGCATGTGGAGCCAAAGCATCCAGGCCCATCTCATACATACCCAGGAGGATGCGGACCAGGCACCCCCCTCCAGACCGACAGCAGCGCAGGGGACATCAGGAAAAAACGCCACAGGTGCTGTGCGGAGAACTGGCGCCCCCGACCGCAGTCGCGGCGCCAGCAGCCTGAGGGAAGTGCTGTGACTGGACGGCCGAGACCCCCAGTCATATGCACCCCCCTGGGACGAACCCACAGGCCACCCCGCCGGAGCGGGGCCGTCGTAGCCGACCCACCGTAGCGGGTCTGCATACGCTCGCTGGTTATCCAGGGGAGACTCCAAGGATCCAAGACATCCAGCCTGTCGCCCGGACAACACTTGCAAGAAGAATCCTCGAAAAAAAATCAGGAAGAAGCAGGTAAGAATACCGAGGAAAATTCTTAGCTCCTTACTCCTGACGCTAGGCAAAAAACTGGAGACCTCTCAGTAGGTGGGGGGTTTGGCCACCGGCAGGGGCCGCCGCTAGGCTGTAATTGGTCTTTAGTTTTTTTTGTGCCTAGCGTCCTTCTCCTGCAGGTGGCGATATTACCCTACAGTACATGATCTCCGATCTGTTCCCTGTGTCCTTCAATGAACGGGAGAGAATTTTTTTTTTACACCACTAGTGTATGGCCCAGCTTTAGTTCATTTTAATGGCCTACTGTACCGAATCATGACACACTCACTCAAAATGTTTCTACCGCTTGTGAAAGTGCATCTCTAGGGGCGAGGGAAAGGCTTGAACCTCCCAATTGTTTTTTATTGCTACAAAACATAGGACTTCCTGCAATATATCATCCAGGAGAAATTCTCAGACCACACTACCAACTTCCTTTGCAGTCCTATATATAAACAATGTTAAATCTGGTGCAGCGTTTGCAAAAGGGAAGGAACAAATAAAAGGAAGATGCACCTTGTTCAGTCACAGGAGGAAACATTTTTTTTTCATTCCAGTATTTGCTCAGTGCACAGCAGACCTAGCATCGCACTAGGAGGAGAACAATCCACCATATGGCAGAGCAAAGCCACTGTCACCTGTGAGATGGCCTCTGTTTTAATCCCACACCACAAAGCGCTCTAGGAGACAGACTGCATTGCTGCTGCACAACATGGCTACAGAATACACCGCTATCCCAGGTGTGAGCAGATTACTGC